CATACCACCACGCCCAGCTAACTTTTGTATTTTTTGGTAGAGACAGGGGTGTGTTGGCCAGGTTGATCTCAAACTCCTGTCCTCAAGTGATCTGTCTGCCTCAGCCTCCCAAAGTGCTGGGATTATAGGCATGAGCCACCACACCTGGCCCATGCCAAAATTCTTATGTTGAAGCCCTAATATCCAATGTGATGGTGTTTGGAGATAGGGCCTTTAGGAGGTAATTAGGTTTAGATGAGGTCATGAAGGTGGGGTCCTCATGATGGGATTGGTGCCCTCATATGAAGATACAGCAGAGAGCTTGCTTCCTCTTTGTCTCTTCCCTCCATGTGAGGACACAGTGAGAAGGTGGCCATCTGCAAGCCAGGAACAGAGCCTCAATGGGGAAATAAATTAGCTCGTGTCTTAATCTTAGACTTCCCAGCCTCCAGAACTGTGAGAAATAAGCTACCTTGTCTATGATATTTTGTTATGGCAGCCCAAGCTGACTGATATACCTTCCTAAGTCCCTACTCTGACTTGTAAACCACAAATATTTTGGAGCTCCATGGGCTATCATCAGTTTAGACTCAAAGTCTAGTAATCTACCTCAGAATATGGTTCTCTCTTTTCCCCACTGCACACTCTCCCTATAAGTACCTGCCATTCTCTTTCTTTGAAGGGGTAAAAGGAAAGTTTACTGCACTCACTTGTGGCATGACTGTATACATTTTCCCCTTAATCCAGGGGGCTCTGGTTCTATAACTGGCCTGGTATCCAGGTAAGTGAATTGGATGAGGCCATGATTATCCATTGTGATGACAAGTAAAGTCTCTGTTCACCAGACCAGAGTTTGCCTATAATGATCAGGTAAAACTTTAGTAGGCTGCCCATTTCTATCAGTTCTAGAGATCTCATGCTTACTTATCCACTACAACAATCCCTAGCAGGTCAAACTTTTTTGACTACTATTGTGACCTTGTTGACCAATACAATAACCAAGCCCACTTTGACTGTAGTTGTTCAGTGGTATCAAGGACCCCATTTTAAGGACATTATCTCCCAGTCAACACTGCTGACTCCTCAGGCTTCTAAACTTTTTCTAGATTATACTAGGAAAGTTCTAGCATTTCAACATAATTTAATGTAGAGTCCTTTGTTGAGCCTAATATACAAAATCCAGAATCTCTCACAGGAAAAGTCCTATAAATAAAGTCATCATCAGTCCAACTGAATTCCTCCCTCCATGGTCTAGAACCCTTAGTTCCTAATCTCACACATGAATTAATATGAATATACGAAAAAAAGCTCATCACCACTGGTCATTAGAGAAATGCAAATCAAAACCACAACAAAATACCATCTCATGCCAGTTAGAATGGCGATCATTGAAAAGTCAGGAAACAACAGATGCTGGAGAGGATGTGGAGAAATAGGAATGTTTTTACACTGTTAGTGGGAGTGTAAATTAGTTCAACCATTATGGAAGACAGTGTGGTGATTCCTCAAGGATCTAAAACTAGAAATACCATTTGACATAGCAATCTCATTACTGCGTATATACCCAAAGGATTATAAGTCATTCTACTATAAAGACACATGCAACCTTCACCTCCTGGGTTCAAGCGATTCTCCTGCCTCAGCCTCCTGAGTAGTTGGGACTATAGGCATGCACTACCGCACAGAGACACAAAAGACAACAGCAAAAAAGCAAACATTGACAAGTGGGATCTAATGAAGCTTAAGAGCTTCTGTATAGCAAAGGAAACTATCAACAGAGTAAACAGACAACTTACAGAATGAGAGAAAATATTTGCAAACTCTGCATCAAAGGTCTATCCAGCATCTCTAAGGAACATACAGCTTCCCCAAGTTTTATTAAATGTAAATTAATGGAATCTTATAAATCTTCCAGTGCTTTACTTGTATCTTTCCAAGTTGGATTTTCTACTTATCTCTTTGGGACATGATGACATTTGACTACTTTTAGGCCTAAAGATAAAGATGAACGAAGTAGAAATGGGACATGACTATATTTGCCACCTCCTACCTGGCATGAAATAGTTATAGAGTCTCCAAGCAAGATAGGATTTGCTTTACTGGATGAGGAGGGAGAATTGTTTCTGTAGGAAGGAGTGCTCAGTGGAATTTGTAGTTTCTAGGTGTGTGAATGCATGTGAATCTACCCAAATGAACCCTACAAATTCTCACAATTTCACCTTTTCCTACCAATGCTTAATCTTCACTTAAAAGATCTGATGTGGCTGTGAATTCAACTCACATTAGAATTCTGCAACCCTGCAGTATCTTGTTTTTGGCTACATTAGCACTGTGACTATAAGGGATGGGAGAGTGTTCTAGGGCAGTCACAGAAGGTGCCTGGTGCTTTGACTGTGACCTGAGATAAAAATAGAAAACTATGAGATTGTCATTTTCTTTCCTTAAGCAATTTAGTATAGCTTAAGTGTGGATATATCATAGGTTATACAAACTATGCCCTTAATAAAGATTTTTAGCCTCTCCAATAAATTCTTAACTGAGGCCAGATTTAAGTGACACCTAAGTCTATAATGGTACCACCACTGTGTCTGTCCAGTATGACAAGCATTCTGTAGACCCTGGGTATGCTAGGGCAGTTAGAGTTCATCCACGGTGCCTAGTTCCTACTGCATTTGGCCCATCATAGCATATTAAGAGCTGAGACTGTGATGGCTAATTTTAGGTGTCAATTTGACTGGATTAAGGAATGCCTGAGAGAAATGTTAAAGCGTTATTTCTAGGTGTGTGTGTGTGAGGGTGCTTCCAGAGGAGACTGGTGTGTGAGTTGTTGGACTGAGGGGGAAGATCCACCCTTCGTGTATGTGGGCACCATCCAACTGGCTGGGGGTCTGGATAGAACAAAAAAGGAAGAGAAAAGACAAATTCACTGTCCCTCTTCCGGGAGGTGGAATACTCTTCTCCTGCCCTTGGACATCAGAACTCCTGGCTCTCCAGCCTTTGGACTCCAGGACCTGTACTTGCATTCCCCCAGGTTCTCAAGCCTTTGGCTTGGACTCAGAATTACACCATCAGCTTCTCTGGTTCTGAGGTTTTCAAACTTGGACTGAGTCACGCTGCTAGCATCCCAGGGTCTCAAGCTTGCAGGCAGCCTGCTGTGAGACTTCTCAGACTCCATAATTGCATGAGTCAGTCTTCCTAATAAATCCCCTTTCATATCTTTATAGATATACATCTGTCTCTATATTCTATTGGTTTCTGTCTCTCTGGAGAACCCTGAATAATTCAGAGGCCAAACCAATTTGCTGGAGTGCTGAGGGCTGGGGAGATGCCTAAGCCTCAGGAGCTCAGAGGACAAGAAGAGACATGGTCTCATTGGTCTACATGTCTACGCATCTTCCAGCCTTGCAGGGAATCCCCTCAAGGAGGGGCCAGCTCATTAAACAACACAGACTGGCAGAATTTAATATGACATCTCCACAGATGTAGTCTTCCTTTAAATTAAAGGCACCAATAAATGTTTGTATTCAAAAAGTTCACTGCATTTCAAAGTGAAGCAGTTTGGTCATTATATTCAATTTAAACATCTTCAAATTAAGATTTCTAGGTGATGTATATTTTTTCACATTTTGTATTTTTCACAACTTACTGAGCCCATTTGCTTTCACTTTCTCAAGTGTTTAAAAGTGCAACATGTATTAATAAAAATCACAAATTTGCCAGTGTCCTATGTCAGGCTCCTTTAAATCTGCTACAATCATTCTTTTGGGCTAAAAATTCTTCTCTGCTCATGTACTTCTAAACTACAATCACTCTGAAGACCAATATACAATTTAAAAGCCTTGAGGTTCTAAATTAGAATATGCAGTTTATTGTGTGGCTCCTGCTCAGTGCAAATTTTTCCACAATTTTGCCCAGAAAACAGATGCCCATTAGTAGCCTCATCAAGAAGCCCTGTCATTACTGTGACTCTCGGTGTTGGAACAAAATGCATCCAAAGTTTCCTCTGACTTCTAGAAGGAGAGTTTAAAGTAGCTGCGTCTGAAACTGTTTTAAAATTGTGGCTTGTGTAAGCATTCGGTGAACAAAGCACTCTTTCTCCAAAAAGGTAGGTGCCAGCCGTTTGCTGTCCTCAGGCTGTTCCCTGAGCATCGCCAGGAACATGAAAATGCTCTCATCCCCGGCTCAGGAAGTCATTTAAAGCAAACCTCTCCTCTGAGAAACAGGGCAGACACAACCAACTAATCACTGTGGCAGGAGACTTAGGGGCCAAGTGATTTATAAGTAAGGAAGGCAGAATCCCTACCAGTTATTGTTATGAAGAGAAAATTCAGTAAAAGCAGAGATATTCTGGGTTCTGACCCACCTCTATCCTCTGCTAATTTTAACTACAGGGCAGTCACTCTCTTTAAGCCCCAGCTTTTTCACCAGTAAAATGATGGGTCAAATCTTGCCCCCTGCCTTATGAGTTCGGTAAGAGGATAAATCCATGTTGGTAGAGCAATTTGAGGTAAGCTCAAAATATAATCAGATTATCTAGAAGCCTACATAATGCTTAGTTATAAGCTACATTCATAAATCTCTCAAAATCTCCAAGGAAGGGACATAGTTTGCACATTTAGCATCCACCCAGTGAATAAAAGGGGCAGCAGGGACGCTGGTCTCTAAGACGGAAGGGGCTCCATTTAGAACTCATGACTAAAGCATTTCACTCAACTTCTGATTTCATACCCTTATCAATGAACTGAGGACCACAACCCCCACCTTGACTGCTTTCCAGGGTTATTATAAGGACCCAAATCAGAACAGAAAAAGGGAGGTGAAAGCACATGATTAACAAAGCTAAGAGCAATATACACTTCGAAAGCCTTAGATACAAAGAAAACATCATTATAATCTAGTTTATAATCTATAAACTAGAACTTCGGTCTTGGAGTTAAAATATTAATAGTTGGGGCTACTTCAGCTCCAAGATGGAGGGTCTAGCAGGAGGGGCAGAGTGAAAGCCGACTGGAGTCGTGTACCTGATGGTGGTGCCTTGCAGACGGTCTATTTTCTTGTTGAGCTCGGCAATGACGCTGTGGAGCTCTGTGATGCGTTCCTCATAGCGAAGCGTCGTTCGCTCCTGGACATCCTCATGCTCTCTCATGAGGTGGGACTGCTCGCACTGGGAATAAGGGAAAAGGACAGAATGCTGATGAATTCAGGCACCTATAGGTGGGTGATTCCAAGCTTTGTGGTCTCAAACCATTACAACTGCCAACACTGAGTAAGCCCCAAATAAAATGTAGGTCAGCTCATTGGCTGGCAATCCCAGGAAACATATCAATGGCTAAATTTTATAATTCCCCTGGTGGATACCGGAGTCTTTGCCTTTCTAGCACTCCATCTCTCTTTGGGAAACAGTCCCTTTGCCATTGCACACTGTCCAAGTGGGGCTATCCAATTTCCCCGCTTTCCCATAGTCAAGAAACAGGCAAGTGGTCCAAGCTAGATCCATCAGATACCTTCTGCAGGGAATTTCAATCTCAAGCAAATGGATGTAAGGTTGCATGGAGTTGATTCAGAGAGCCTTGAAGAGCATCTCTCTTAGTTCCTGCTACCTACAGCTCCCTTCCCAAGTTCTCTTATGGCTGTTTAGTTTCCTTTTTTTTTTTACTGATTCACTCCTCCTTTGCTGAAGTTTATCAGGGTTTGTTTCAGCTATTTTTCAACCAAACAATCCTAAATGGTATAGTACCACTTCTTATCTGGATAGATTATCAGCAAATTTAATGCTTTCCAATATCATCATCTCCCAGACTACAAGCTCCTGGAAGGCAGGGACTAGGTTTTTCATTATTTAGCCTAGCACCGACAAATGGCCTGGTTTACTGTGGGTGAAGTAGGAGTGTTATGGAATGAATGGATGATGATATATCACCATCATGAAAACTGCTTAGCAGAAATAGTGATAAAAGAGGCAGCGGGGGCTGGGCGCGGTGGCTCAAGCCTGTAATCCCAGCACTTTGGGAGGCCGAGACGGGCGGATCACGAAGTCAGGAGATCAAGACCATCCTGGCGAACACGGTGAAACCCCGTCTCTACTAAAAAATACAAAAAAGTAGCCGGGCGAGGTGGCGGGCGCCTGTAGTCCCAGCTACTCAGGAGGCTGAGGCAGGAGAATGGTGTAAACCCAGAAGGTGGAGCTTGCAGTGAGCTGAGATCTGGCCACTGCACTTCAGCCTGGGCGACAGAGCGAGACTCCATCTCAAAAAAAAAAAAAAAAAAAGAAGCAGAGGAGCTTCCCTTGCTCAGCGTTTGATGGACTAAGAGGCAGCAGAGTTACAAAAACATTTCTGCAGCCAGAGTTTAAATCCTGAGGAGCCTGTTCACCTCTGACTTTTCTCCACTGCTCTCAATACCTTCCAGTCACTGTGCATTTAATCTCATTTACATAATAATAAAATACTCCTCAGAGATGGAACAAGTAGTCCAGCTTGCGTCCTTGTCTACCACATTCAGCTTTGATTAACTTCCTGTCACCAGAGGAACTTTACTTTCATCTTCAACAAGGTTTTCTCAGTGCCAAGAGCCATATATGTTTCCAGCATTGCAGGTTTGCATCTCCAGGCCTGGTGGCAGGCAGGGAAAGAGTAGGATTTCTCACCTGCTAACTCCCCTGTCCCTCCCTAAATCGGCTAAGCTTCCAATGGCATAACCCAGGACAGGGACAAAAGGCTTTCAACGATAAACTGAACATTATACTGAGCCTAACTCAATACTGAAACAGAAGTGTTCAATGAAGAAGTCTGACAAATACTTTGGTATCAATCATGGTAGGGCCCGCACCTCAACAACAGCTGGATCAGTATTTATGTAACTTCCTGGGGGTTACCTTAGAGCTCCAGAAACAAGATTGGAGGCAAGAAGGTTGTTGAATGCTTTATCACAGCCGTAGAGGGATAGTTACTTTCAGGAAAATATTCCCGTGAACTACTACTCTTAGTGGCAACCTGAAACATCAAATAACCTCCACAGGTCAAGCACACAAAAAATAAGTGGGAACAGAGGCAAGGATCAAGGTCGAGTGAGAGGCACATCTAGTGGAAGCTTTCCTAAACAAGGATGCCTTAACCAGCCACAGACACTCTTTCCATGAAGTTAGGCCTTTCTCATCCATGATCCTACATACTTAAGGAACAGGAGAAGTCTACAAAATGACAGGATCTCAAAGGCAATTTCTATCAATAAATGAAAGAGCTTATATTTCTCTGAACATACCAAGAAGAGAACACTGTTCCTCTCAGACCTGCAGCACATCTATAAGCTCTTGCTATTAGCCTCTGTTCCCAACCTCAGAGTGTGTGTGTGTGTGTGTGTGTGTGTGTGTGTGTGTGTGTGTGTGTTCATATTGTATGAACATGTACAGATGTAGTGGACACTCTCATGCAGGTCACCAGTTCCAGATCTTAGTGTGACTGTAGGATAAAATTCTGTCTCTGACCTGGATCTCATCAATGCAGTGACTCCTATGTTCCCATGTTGCTTGTTCCTCCTCTTTGGTTTTCCATATTCAGTTCTCTAGGGCTACAAATTACTGTGAAACATTTCCACTTAAACACTCAATGAGCTCTCACTTTCCCTTATTTCCCCACTCATATTTCCTTGTTTGAAGTCCTTACAGGTCAACAGGCCACTACCACCACCTGGGCTGACAAGAAACTACAAAGTCCAATGAACAATGAAGATGTTCAAGGGTCTATATAGAGAAAGGCACACCAGCAATTGATAACCACCAAAAGACCACCCTTTGGCATCCCTACTGACTGATGTGAACTGCCTAAAAGATGTGATCCTGGCCAATCAGCAGCCCTTGCTGCTGCTCTGCCTATGGAGCAGCCATTCCAGCCATTCTTTTGTTTCTCTAATAAACCTGCTTTCACTTAAAAAAAAAAAAAAAAAAAAAGAAAGGAAAAGAAAAGAAAAAAAAAAGACCCTGTGAGGCTGCCCAGGATACCAGATGGAGAGGGAGAGCGTGCTGTCTGGTATTGCACCATCTTTCCCCTGCCTCTAACTGGGAAGCCTGCCTGGAGGATACCTGCAAGAACAAGAGGCAACATGAAGCCTGGTGATTCAGTCAGATGGAATAGGGCTTGTAGCTAGATAAAGGAAAAAAAGATTTGATGTATATTTGGAGCTCAAGCACTCATTTAGAAGGAGTAACAAGAATATATTGGAGGGAAAAAAAAAAACTCTTTTAGCTAAGGGCAAAGGTATTTAGTTTACATTCCTATATTTTTCCGTAAGTTTTTAAGAAATAGCATATGATGTAATACTATAATGTAATGCTTCCTCTACACATATCAGACATTTCTTAAATGAGACTGTGCTGGGAGCTACAGGGGAAGTGATTACAATACATGTTGAAGGTAACTGTGGTCACAGCTTACAGTGGACTGAAAGAACGCCAGACTTCTCTTCTGGAGAACAAGAAACAGGGATAGAAGTGGAAGGGTGGGGAGAAGTAGAGATACTAGGATGGCATCCTGGGGATTCTTTCCCCAGTGAAAAGAGAATACCAGAAAATAATTATCAAAACAGACTCCTAGCCGGTGGCTGTAACAATGACCGAGAAGCCACTGCTCAAGGTTCATCTCTACACATCAACATCCTCTTATTAAACATGCTTCACTCATTTGTGCACACTCACTGTACCCAGCCAAAGAAGCTGAACCACTGATCTCAAAGCTCAGTGAAAATCCGCTGAGCATTTCCAAGCTGTAGTGCAGGGAAAAGCGGAGCAAATCCCACAGGGCAACAGCACAGGAGGAAACAAGCCATCACCTGCAAAAGCCAAAAGAACCAACACAACACCCTTGTTCATTTTTTCTTTTCTTTTTTTTTTTTGAGATGAAGTCTCGTGCTCTCACCCAGGCTGGAGAGCAGTGGCGTGATCTCTGCTCACTGCAAGCTCCGCCTCCCGGGTTCATGTGATTCTCCTGCCTCAGCCTCCGGAGTAGCTGGGACTATAGGCGCCCAACACCATGCCCGGCTAATTTTTTTTGTATTTTTTTTTTTTTAGTAGAGACAGGGTTTCACCATGTTAGCCAGGATGGTCTCGATCTCCTGACCTTGTGATCTGCCCACCTCAGCCTCCCAACGTGCTGGAATTACAGACGTGAGTCACTGTGCCCGGCCAACACCCTTGCCCAAGAGCACCCATCTAGCTGCTCATGAGTCAACCCTGGGAATGTGGCACTTTAGTGCAGGAAAAGTGGAAGATGAGCAGGTGGCAGGCAGGGCAGACAAAGCCATTCTGTGTACCATCACTGGCCTTCCTGTCCTGGCGACCTCCCACATAGGCAGGAGCAGCCTGTTAAAGTGAGGTCCACTCCTGTCCCCACACTCTAGTTCGTTACTGACCTGTTGCCTCTCATCACCTTGAGTTTTCATGACCTGGGAGAACACTTTTTGTTTTTTTGAGATGGAGTCTTGCTCTGTCGCCCAGGCTGGAGTGCAATGGAGTGATCTCAGCTCACTGCAACCTCCGCCTCCCAGGTTCAAGTGATTCTCATGCCTCAGCCTCCCGAGTAGCTGGGATTACAGGGGTATGCCACCAGGCCCAGGCCCAGCTAAATTTTGTATTTTTAGTAGAGATGGGGTTTCGCTATGTTGGCCGGGCCAGTCTTGAACTCCTGACCTCAAATGATTCGTCTGCCTCAGCCTCCCAAAGTGCTGGATTACAGGCATGAGGCACTGCGCCCGGCCCTGGGAGAGCACTTTTTAACCCTGGATGGTGTATGATTTCAGGTGTTCTGTTTAATAAGGAAATAGGTTAGGACAAGCTCAACACTGCACTTCTACGTAAGAGTCACCTAGGAGTACGTGTTCCCGTATGGCCTCATTCAGGAAGGTAACACAAAGACAACAACCAAACAGAAAAGAGGTTCTCTTCTATAATTACTACTTAACATTTGCATAAGTTTTCCAATTTTTAAGTTAAAAAATTAAGTACAGTATAGACTTTCAGAAAATTGATAGAAGACCCACCCATTTTTTAAATAATTTCCCTAGCACATTTTTTTTCTGAATCGTTTTCATTTCTCCCCATTATTTTCTTAGGTACATGATGCTCCATCCACCAGGACCACTACATGGTATAACAAGTACCCCTGTGGCACCAAG